CTGCTGCTGAATTGGTTTATATAGCTAAATTGTTTAAAGACATTGGCTTCATTCTAGGCACTCCTCCTCTTCTCTGGGATGACAATCAATCTGCTATTTCTTTGGCTTCTAATCTTGTGTTTCATGCTAAGACTAAACACGTGGAAGTTGATTATCACTTCACACGAGAACTGGTGCAAAATAGTTCTCTTAAACTTCACTATGTTTCTTATTCTAATCAGCTTCCTGACATTTTTACAAATTCTCTCTTCCTCTTGATTTGTGTATCTTCGATCCAAGCTTTCAGTTTGTGACACTACCTTCAGCTTGAGGGGGGCTGATAGAGATATCTCCACATCTAATCCTAGTCTTTCATCACAGAGTTGTTAATTTTTGTTTAGCTTTACTTTGACAAACTGTACAGCTGTCATTTGTACAGCTATATTATTACAGCTGTATATAAACAATTCAATGTAATCATTATTGTTTAATGAAATGAAAATACAATTTTAGTTTTCTCACAAAATATTGAAGGAGAATTAGAAAGTGGAAAGGTCAAAGTAGAGGATTACTGTCAGGACTTTTTGGGCCTGAGGAGAGAGAGAGTATTGAAGTTGACAATGAGTAAGAGATTCTTTGATATTAGCAAAACTAACATGACAAAATATGCCAAATGTTGAGATTTTGGGTGATTGATTTTGAAATTAAAATGTTGTGGTGGTGATGTTGTCGAAAATGTTAGGTGAGAATTACATATCATTTACCTTTCGTTCATTTTCTAGCCATCTCTAAATTGTCTATATATCATGTGAGCCCTAATCTTTTTTTTAGAAGAAGATAAATTCCATTAATATCCCGAGAGCATTACATGTAAAACTATTGAGTGATGGGGGCCATTGCATTATTCCCCTTTGGATTTATGCATGCAGGAGGAGCTAGTAGGCTTGGTGTTTATGGGTAGAATTGACATTATTGGACAACCTTAGGTGTGTATATATAGGAAAACGTCCAAAATCCATAATAAAGCTGGGGACGTACGTGGTGGTGCATGCATGTGGTAGTTGATGTTGATATTTTATTCCCCCCTAAAGTATTACAAACGAATGCTGACAAAAAATAACTCAAAACCAGTGCACACTCACGTCACGTGCTTCTGCAAACACAAACTAGTAAGCAATTCACAGAGATACGGACATAGCCACAGAGGGGGAGCAGATCGATGTAAATTATTAAGTTCTTCTTTAAGCTCAAAAACTCAGCACCAAAATAGAGCAAAACATTCACATTAATTTCATCAAAATTAACATGACTTAATAATTAATATTACCACAGTACGTATATCGATCTGATACACTATCAGATAAACAAAAACAAAACAACAAATTACGACAGAAATTGATCCCTCAAGAAGTAGTTTTTACTTCCAAGCTTTCACATGCTATTAATTATTAGCTGACACATATTATGCTAATTAATTAAACCACAGTGAATTGGGAAATTTAGGACTGTGCTGTGATGATGATCAACTTCAACTATGCAGGGCACTGGAATCCAGAGGGTGGAGTTTTCCCACAGTCAATCAGAACCTGAAGAGCGATGGGGAGGATGATGTTGATGTTGAGAAGCTTAAGCTTGATGGTGGTGCAAAGGCAAATGGCAGCATCCAAGTCCACCAGCCCTTGAAGCACTGGACAGCATGCATCCTTGGCACTGCTGCCAATTCCAATGTGAATGAGGCCACCCAACACATCCACACAACCTCCCAACTTGATAGTGTCGATGGGACACGTGTCCTTTGGTGGTGGTGATGGGGTTGGCACTGGTGGTGGTGGAGGAGGGCATGGTGTCTCAGTGGGTGGAGGAGGCTTAACTGGTACAACTGGGGTAGGTGTTGGTGTTGGTGGGCTTGGTGGTACAACTGGGGTAGGTGTTGGTGTTGGTGGGCTTGGTGGTACAACAGGTGGTGATGGTGGTGGTTTGGGGACATATGGTGGAGGTTGTACAA